GCTCATTGTTCGGGCCAGGGCCAGCTAATTTTCCTCTGAATCCTGCTTTCCATTTGAAGATTTCCGAGTGTTTCCAAAGCACCGCCTGGGAGCAAACTCATTACTGGGGGAGAACATTTTATCCCAACGTAGCAGATGGTGGAGCGGCAGGTAACCGCCACATTGGAGGTCACGGAGTGGAAAGACAGTTCTGGTTTCCTGACTGTTCTGTAAGTTAAGTTTGGGCCTGAGCAAGGATGAACGACTGAGAAAACAGTGTGCATGGCATGAATCCAACCGCCTGGGGTGGGCGATCCTTAAGGAAGGAGGGAGCTTATTATAGGGAAGTCAGGGGGTAAATTACAATCCACATCAGGCAGCTAATGAAGGGAAGGACAAAGGACGAATATGTGAGAGACAAGTTCAGGTCCCAGCATCACCTCTAACTTACCAGGTGACCTGAGCAAACGGAGTCCCCTGCACAGGCTTCCGTGACTTAAGCCGTAAAGCAAGGGAACTGAAAGAGAAGGCCCTTGTAGCCCTTTCCAGCTCTGGGATTCTGAGATTCTAATATTCGCAAAAAATAAGCCAGGAATTGACACCTAACTTGAACATTAACCTCTGGCACCAAGAATTGGTATCTTAGGCTGGATATGCCAGAAGTGGCCCCTGAGGCAAGGATTTATGTGTCAGTGATTTATGAATGATGCATTCTCAGGAAAAACCTGGAAGGCAGCAGGGGAGGCTGGAGGGAAGGGGAGGAGGCCAAGCCAAGTTGTAACCTCAGGCAAAGTCCCTCAGAGGGGAGGGACTCTGGAATATAAGTTATGCCTGGCTTCAGGCAAGGCTGCAGGGCTTGGTACTCCCACCATGTCCGTCACTGGTTAAGGTCCGTTGGGGGTGTAGCGGGGGCAGGCATACTTCTGGCTCTAACAGATTCAGGTGCTGGCTGTTAAAAGCAAAACCACTGCCATCACCACCACCCCACCACTCCCAGCACACTACAATTAGTGAAAAGGGATCCAAGGAGATCTGGCTCGGCACAGACATGAACAGCTGCTCTCAGGTTCCCAACAACACAGCAGAGTTGAGGTTCCGCATGGGGGTCTCATGAATATTTGAAGCGAAATGTCGGAAAAGAACTGTAACAGGCAACTCAGCCACTGGAAATCCTCATGGGGACAAGTTATCCTAGGGGTGAATTAGAATTCAACCCCATTACAGGGCTCGTTCAGTCACTCTTCCAACTTGCCTTGTTCAAAGATCCTGCCAGATATACCAAGAATGCAAGTAAACAAGATCTTGGCTAAAGGACCATCCCTGAAGCAAAAGACAATTTTTCTCCTCTGTCAAGAGGTGTCCCATCTTAAGCTCTCTGCTGCCCATTTTAATAACAATAATATAAATGTTAAAGGATGGCTGGAAATGCCTGCACTAACGCAGAGTTAATTAACATGTTGCCTAGGAATGTGGCAGGGAGAAGAATTATTTTATGTCACCAAGACACAAGTTAATTAACATTGGGTTCTCCCAGACTGTTTTTTTTTTTTTTTCCTTCCTCTCCTTTTTGAAAATGGAAAGGATTAACAAGCCCAGGCAGCAATGGTTTTATTCCTGAATGTTATATAAAACGGTAGAGATAGGGAGAAGCCGGGGCTCTTCTGACCTTACTCAATCTGCACTTCATTTAATAAGATTCAAATGATTTGACAGGGATGGAGTCAAGGGTCCGATGGGATTCATTTACCCGTCTGCCTTCTCACTGACTTGGCAAAGTGGGAGTGAGCAAAACCAGGTCTGTATTTATCCCAGTTCTATTTTTTGGGACTTAAAAAAAGGAAAACTGACCAAAATTATAAGCATGATCATTGCAAAACCCTACTTATTTTCTGGGAACCACCATATCTGCAAGGACTGCAAGGACTTTATCTGGGAATTCAAGAAGGACAAAAGGCTTCTTCCATCAGTCTTTAGGTAAAGCCTCCTTCACTGTGAAACTGCCTGCAGTTTTTTGGTTTGGTTTTGTTTCTGTAACGTAAAATGCTCCGAGGGCAGGCTCGAGGGGAAAAGCTGGCCCAGCAGCCAAGGGCGCTGAGGTCTCAACAAGCTTCCATGGGTTGGATGGTCCGGGTGCATCACAGACCCTCTGCTCCAGGAAGACGGAGAAATCCTGACAGCTACACAGTTGAGCAGATCTGACAGTAGAGGGCACAGAGAGTTACCTCCACGGCAGCTCCTCAGAAACTAGAAACGCTAGTACATTCTAGGCAAAGGCATTCACAGAGTGCTGGAAAATTCGGATGGCCAACAGAAGCAGGGGAGATGTCCTCAGCTCCTGTCTTACTTGGCGTGGTCGAGTTCCTATTTTACCCTTCCATTCTTCCATCCCTTTGCTCATTAGATTGGAAAATAATGATTACGTCATAAGGATGTCATAAGAGCAGCTAACATCTATTTGATCCATACCGAGTCAAGTAGTTTATCTGCATTATTCCATCAAATCCTCCCCACATCCTTAGAGGTAGGTGCTATTATGATCCCCATTTTACAGATGAGGAAATCGAGTCTTAGGAAGGTTAAGTAACTTTCCCAAGGCCACTGGGAAGCAACGGTGTTGGGACTCGAACCTCCAACTGCCCGCAGGGCCTTTGCCTTCTGTTCTTCAAAGACTGCCTTCCTGCTATGAGTCAATGCTTGGAGCTCCACATGCCTTCTATTGTTAAATTTCTCATCATACAATACTGCAGTCATACAAAAGAATATTTATAACATATATATATGTGTGTGTGTGTGTGTGTGTTCTGAAGCATTCAAATGAGGTCCTCAGAGCCCACCTCCTAAGTTAGAAACACTCCCAGTTCCTCTGATCCTCCGTGCGTACCCCTCCTCAACCCCATCCCCTGGCTTCTCCCGCTCCCCAAGGGAACAACTTCTCTGAATTTTGGGGGTACAATTCTCTTGCCTTTAAAGATATTAGTATTTTACCACATAGGAACGTAACCCTGAAAATATGCTTCTCAAACAGGAAGAAATGCCCTCTGCTTCTCGGCAGGGGAGCTGAGACTCAGTTTCTGCAGCCTGACCTCTTTCTATAGGTGGTGTCTAAGCCTGGACCAGGGTCGGGGGCAACATGCACAGACTGCAGATGTCCAGGGACCACCCAGCCTCCCTTCCGAGGGCCCCAGTGGAGTGCCGCGGAGGGTACCTGAGATAGTCTCTCCGGCAGAGCTTCCGGCCCAGTTTGTAGTAGAGGCGCCGCCCCACCTCGCCCAGCCGGCAGCCACAGAGGTCGCAGCTCAGGCAGTCCTCGTGCCAGTACTGGTCGATGGCCTTCAGGAAGTAGCGGTCCCCGATATTCTGCTGGCAGCCGCCGCATGTCAGCAGGGACGGGGGGATCTGCAGCACCTCATCCACTGGTTCCCTGGAGAGAAGGCCAAGCATCAGGGACAGCCTCACCAGGGTGAGACCAGCACCGGGGGTCCGAGATCATTTTGGGCTAGACAGGGTACCTCACCTGACTGCCTTTTGGTGACCTAAGGGAGAAGGGACAGGACAACACGTCCCTTGGCCAGATTGCAGAGTCCCAACCAACCTTGGGTTAAGACGGAAGAGAGCCAGACCTTACTCCCTAGATCTCTAAGAAGTCAACACAAGGCACCAAGAGGCATCAAAGGCAACTGCAGGTGGCAGTGTGCCCCTGCCCATGCCCAGCACTACCTGGGCACCTCTGGTCTCCTTCTGCTTTTTCCCTCTCTCCCCGCTGACTCTCCCTTTCTGTCTTCACAGATTTCCCTCATTTTCCTCCTCCTATACCCTGAACCCAAGGGCACTGCCTAACCTCAAAGGAGGCACCCTGGACTAAAAGAGTCGCTCACCATCAGGGCAGTGGACGACCCAGAGAGCTAAGAATCTGCAAATCCCCTGTTGAGTAAAGTGTCATCCTCCCTCCAGCCCTTCCCCCCCCGCACAAAAGCAGAGGTGAGGAAGAAAGAAGAATGAGACCAAACATTATTTTAGGCTGCTTTCTCTTTCCAAAATAAAAATTCCATCAGGATATAATAGGAATTCTCCTAGTTTTACTCTTTCACAGAAATTCCATTTTCCATTCTTCCTACTGAAGGAATACTTGGAGGAAAATCCCATATTGTAAGGCCATTGTTACACTTATGAAGAACATCAAATAGGCCTTTCTTTCCTTACCTGAACATTTTTATAACAGTAAAGCTGATTCGGATAAAGTTGATTTGAGGAAGAAAATGAAGTGGGGGCAATGATTATTTCAAAGAGAGTGGAAGGCAATTAAACAGTCATTGACATCTCAATCCAGCAATTGTTAATAGGCTGTGACACACGTTCTTTCATTAATGTGCCATGCATAGTATCTCTTGTTCACTTTGCTTCACTGGAATCTGAGTACTTTTTTAACATTTAAAAATAAATAATTTTGCTAAAAGAAAATAAACGAGTAGAAGGAATTATTCTAGTGTCCCCCAAATGGGACACAGGAAACACTTAATACTTGTTGATTTGTAATAATTAGCAAGTGTTCTCTGGAACCTTAAACACAAATCTATTTCTTAAAAATCTATTATGTTTCAAAAACCAGACCTTCTTCCAACTGTAAAATTCCCAAAGGGAGTTTCCTCCTGGGTGCCCTGCAGGTATAAATCCATGTCTCCTATTTCTAACTGGTACTAACTTACCAGGTAACCTTGTGTCCTAATTGGTCTGAGCCCACAAAGCCCAGCAGTCATTATACTTGGGGACAGGAGGCTAGGTGGCTCAATGTCTATTAACACTCTTGACAACCTCAGAGGATTCTGTCATGTGAAGAATGAAGCCTTTCTTGTGAATATTTAGGAGTGTTAAAGCCATGCCCACACTTTCTAGATACAATGTAACAGCACTTCATGAGATTATCATCTTTGGAACAAGAAAATGTGAAGCTCAAGTTAGTTTATCTGGGAAAAAAAAAAATGGCCAGGCACAGTGGCTCACGTTTGTAATCCCAGCACTTTGGGAGGCCAAGGCAGGAGGATCACTTGAGCCCAGGAGTTTGAGGCCTCCCCGGGCAACATGGCAAAATCCTGTCTCTACAAAAAATATAAAAAATTGCCCAGGCTTGGTGGCATGAGCCTGTAGTCCCAGCTACCCAGGAGGCTGAGGTGGGAGGATCACCTCAGTACAGGAAGTTGAGGCTGCAGTGAGCACTGCACTCTAGCCTAGACAACACAGTGAGACCCTAGCTCAAAAAAATCAAAACTATAGTTTCTTTTTTTTTTTTTTGAGACAGAGTCTTGCTTTGTAGCCCAGGCTGGAGTGCAGTGGCACGATCTCAGCTCACTGCAAGCTCCACCTCCTGGGTTCGCGCCATTCTCCTGCGTCAGCCTCCCAAGTAGCTGGGATTACAGGCATCCGCCACCAGGCCCAGCTAATTTTTTGTATTTTTAGTAGAGACAGGGTTTCATTCACTGAAGCCTTGCTTTCTTTCCTTTGTTTCTACAGATTGTATATAAGGACTGCCATTTTCCCTTCTAATAAGTAATACCCTAGCGTTTTTATGTGTATCAACTCGGAATTGCATCTCTTCTCTTTCCACAGCCCATGGTCTTACTCTGGGCTTTCAAAACCACTCATGGGACCTCGACAGACATTGGATGTCCCGATGCAGATGCTGCCAAAGGACTGTGAAAGAGGATAATTTGCCCTTAGCTGGTGCAAAACTGCCTGGAATTCAAATGAACTGCTCTTGTTACTCACAGGGGAGGCAGTGGGGGCCACCAGTGGCATAGCAAGGGAATCTCTGTGTTCATGAATTCTGGCTGGCTTTCTGTCCAAATGTTTCATTTGCATATAGCTAGGCAAGTCTCCATCTGTAATTTGGAGATGCTGATTGTAATGACCCAAGTCGGCTTTGAGGAAGTACACAATGAAGCATCTAGTAGGATACTGGACAACAGGAGGAACGTAAAGTAAAAGAGTTATGGTGATGGCCTGAGATGAGATGGAGAATTAAAGTATAAGATATTGGCTCTGTCTTTCTATAATTAATTGATAATATCACATTATACTTAGTGGGCAATCCAAGACAATGAATGAGATTGATTCACCCTCAAATTAATATTTTATATTCTCCCAGACCCTTATCTTGAATATTACACCTGAGTATCATTTCAGCCTGGATTTCTGGGATAATCATAACAATTTCTAAGGGGGTGGAGAATGTGCTGCTGCAATTTCTCAACTAGCTTGTCCCTCTTTGATCAGAAACTATCTTCGCTGGGCAAATAGTGAAGTGAAGGAAGGAGCTGGTGAGCCTCCAGCAGTAGATACCTGCTGTGTTAGGAAGTTAGGATGTTTCAGTTTTCTAACCTCAGTGAAAAAGCACAAACTTTGAAAGATGCAAACTTCCTTCAGGGAAATGAAACCTTCAGATTTACCTTCTAGTGAAAGGATTAGTGACTAAATTCTGCTGATCAAAAAGGCATGAGGCACCAATTCATCCAATTCACTCCCTTATTGTGTTACTATGATCTTGCCCAGTCTCTGAAACTCAAAGCTCAGTTGTAATTTTAAGTTTATTTTTTAAAAAGTGATGAAACCACCCTTTAAACCCATTGTTGACATAAACATACTTTTAAAAAGAAATGTTATTTTTCTCCTGAGAATTTGTTGAAGGAAGTGGGGGGTTTTTGCTACAACAAACCTAGCTCATTACAGAACTGGTGTCTTAACCTTCAAGACGGAATAGTGATGTTTATATTCTCATTGGATGGTGGTACTTCCTGTGTTTTATGAGAACGTGCTGAGCTTTTATGCTGCTAACTGAGGGTAAAACCCAGGTAAATAAACACCATAGAAAGCCGAAATTGAAGGGTGTATGTGTGTGTGTGTGCGGTATTTCAAGCAGGAAAGCACAATTCTTTCAAACCAGGAAAAGAAAAAACAAAACAAATGTCTCTTAAAAGCACAAATGGACAAGTCATTAACCAGCTCCTTTGGTCTTGTGTAACAAATCCCTTCAAAGGATTAGAGGGGGACTTCAAAGGAATAAAAATTCTCAAAACCAGACAGCTAATGACTCTTAAAAGGGCATTTGCGTTGACAGGAAAATGATATCTTAAACACCCCTTGCTACCCATGTTAACACTAAAGAATTGGTGAGAGATAGAAAAATATTCCAAACCAGTACGAGGCTCAGAAAACAGATGCGGTCAATGCTCATTAGAGCTCTGGTTCCCTGACCCCAAACCCTTTTGAGACTATGCTAAGAACTACGAGACTCTACTCCCTAGAAGAATTCACCTGTACACAAAATGGTGCGTTAACTTTCGAGGTTCACAGGCCCCCATCGGTGGACCCCGAGGAGGGCTACACGTACTCAGATTTACTCCGGCTTTCGCTGCTCTAGAAATCCCCGGAGGCCCAGAGCCAGCTCCGAGGTGGTCGGTCGGACCCCTCACCCGCCCGTTACCCGCGCGGCTGGCAGCGGCTCCACCTGAGGACCGGGAAGGCGGCCGCTGGGGACCCCGGAGGCCTCCACTTGGAATGTTCCCCTTTCCAAGACCAAATGGACAAAGAGAAAGGGCCGAGAAGGAGAGGTGAGAAGGGAGCCGAGTCAAGCACGGAACGCGCTCCGGACTGCACCTGCACGCCTCCAGGCTCCCCTTGTGCCTGCTCCCGTGCAAACTTTCTGGCCCGCGGTGGCTTTAGGCAGCGTCCTGATAGCCTGGAGTGGCCCGCAGAGGCGCCGGGCCGACCCCTCTCCCTGCCGCCCA